GTGCGCCGGTGGGTGCAGCGGAAGAGGGGGTCCAGGGGGGAGAACTTCTTAGCAGTCATCCTTTTTAGGAAAAGAGGGAAAAAATAAAACCCTCCCCCACCATCTCCTTCTCCCCACCCCTCGCCGCACCACACACAGCGCGGGCTTCTCGGCTCTGCACCGGCGGGCCGGGCGCGTCCTGCCTTCATTTATCCAGCAGCTTTTCGGAAAATGCATTTGCCGTTCGGAGTTTAATCAGAAGCGGATTCCTGCGCCTGGGTGTACCCGGCGCGTCTACCGGCCCCTGATCCCTGTCTCTCCCCGGGGGAGGCTTGAAGCGGTCCCGCGGACAGGGGTCCATGTCTGTGCCCGCGCATGTGCGCGCGCGTGTATATTGCCGAGAGGGGGGAAATCACAGGACTTATGCAAATACTGGACTGAAAATTGTAATTCATCTGCCGCCGCCGCTGCCTTCCCCACCCCCCGGCCCCCCCCTTTCGTGCTCTTGAGATCTCCAGTTGGGATTCTTACGGACTGACATTTCTGTGAAGGAGAAGTCTGAGAACCCATCTGCCAATTCTGCTCATTTACACCACTCCCCCACCTCCAGGTTCATTTGCAAGTTTCATAGCAGCTATCGCCGGGAGTTCTGAAGATCGATGGGGTCTTTGCCTTACGCATTTGTTTTGTCTTCACAAAAAAGGAAACTTGACAGAAGATCATGCCGTCCTTAAAAAATACAAGTAAGTTCTTGGCGCAGGAAATTGGTTTAATGTAACTTTTAATAGAAACATTTGAGATTTTAACTTTAAGTGTATTCGACTAAGTTTAATTTGCAGTTTAATTAACATTCTTTTTAGCCGTGTGGTTGTAGTGTGTATAGCCCTGCTTTTTATCCAGTGTAAGAAAAATGCACCTGATTTTGACTTATCAGTGTTTCGGATTTTTTTTTTTAACCTATTTCAGGATCACGGAGGAAGTAGACTGATATTGACAATAATTAATAATAATGTGCCTCATGAAATAAAGATCCGAAAGGAATTGAAATAAAAATTTCCTGCACCTCATGCCAAGAGGGAAACACCAGAATCAAATGTTCCGCGTGACTGAAGACACCCCCTCATCCAAGAATGCACAGCACATCCAATAAAATAGCTGGATTATAACTATTCTTCTTTTTTTCGGGGACGTGGGGCGGGGGCGGGAGCGAGAGGTGCTACTGGTACCCGGCTGCTTCTCTCTGCTTTTCCTCGGGGGCAGGATGGCGCACGCTGGGGGGGGCCAGCGCTCAGCCCCGTGCCACCTGTGGTCCACCTGACCCTGCGACAGGCGGGCGACGACTTCTCCCGTCGCTACCGCCGCGATTTCGCAGAGATGTCCAGCCAGCTGCACCTGACGCCCTTCACCGCGAGGGGACGCTTTGCCACGGTGGTGGAGGAGCTCTTCAGGGATGGAGTGAACTGGGGAAGGATTGTGGCCTTCTTTGAGTTCGGTGGAGTCATGTGTGTGGAGAGCGTCAACCGGGAGATGTCGCCCCTGGTGGACAACATCGCCCTGTGGATGACAGAGTACCTGAACCGGCACCTGCACACCTGGATCCAGGATAACGGAGGCTGGGTAGGTGCATGTCTGGTTGAATGTGTGTCTGGGATGGAAGTCTCAGGTCTGAGACATGGTGGTTGGAGACTGGGTGGGCTCCGGGGCCAAGGACTGGCTGATGAGACAGTGGATAACACCAGGTTTGTTGCTTCCCACCCTCTTCCCTTGTACAAAACTTGCGGTGCCAAGCCTACTGTGATCGTTCCTTCCTACCCAAAGTGTTTCCCTTACTTGCCAGCTGTGGTGATTCAAAGATTCAGCATTTTCTATCCAGTAAGATCTTGGGATAAATGGAATCCCTCCAGGGTTCCTCAAACTGGGGGTCCAAGGACACCCAGCACCACAATTACCTGGCCTGCGTAGCTGGTTGAGATGGGAGACCCCAGATTGGGTTGTGGCAATGTGCATCCTACACAGACTCTCCTGGGGGTTTCCTCTTTGTGCTAAAATTTGAGAACCACCCAATTAGGAGAATAGACTGCACCAGAGGACCAAAGGGCAAGCCTTATCTGATTCATTGGGTAAAATCTACCCAAAGAGGAAAACCAATGCAGCCCCTATCCCTGGGAAGCTTAGCTGTGTTTGTGAAGAGGTAAGCTGAACTTCCAAAAGGCCAGTGGGCGGGACCGAATGACCTGAGAAAGGTTCAGCTGTGGATGCTTTACTTTGTCTCATCAGTGACAGAATTTGCATTGGCTTCGAACTCTGTGTTCTACTTCTATACCTGGTGTGCAATTTTAAAGTTTGCTGGGATTTTATTATCTTTTAGTTTCCACCACCTAGAATCCACATCGCTTGGTTCCTCTACTGAGCAAACGTGCGTCTACAGTGTGTGCATGAAGCATAGAATTGATTCTGAATTCTCTCATGCTCCGACTTTAGTCCAAGTGATCGATGCCTGTAGTTTTGAAGAACATCTGTGAGATGATTGTTTTTTTCTGGTACAGTGTTAGATAGAGCCGCTATCATGTTACCATAAAGTTCTTTTTGTGTGTGTAATTTTTTATTTTTTTGGGGGGCGGGGGTGGTGGTGAAGGAGAAGAATTGCAATTGAGAGCTACACCTTCCATCTAAAATTACTAATTTATGAAAAAGCAAAAAGGAGGAATAATTCTTGTTTGATTTTTTTTCCAGACTTTTTGTTTTAATCTGAAGAATTACCTTTGAAAAAGGAATCAATACAGTGCTTCCTTTTATAGTCCCTGGGGAGAATTACTAATGTTATTGTTTTATAGGACCTAACAGGAGCAAAAAGCCTAGAAATGATTACCAGTGGATCTGATTTCAAGAAGCATGTTACGTATTTTACTACAGTTTGCATAGTGTGCTATTAAGGGGCCAAAAAGAGAAAAGGCCAAGAAAAGTCTATGGCTGACATGAACATCTGATCCTACTTGGCCAAAGTTGACAAAATACTGATGACACTTTTTATTGTTTAAAAGTAAAATCGACTAAAATGATCCCTGCATATAAATCTCTACAGCTTAAATGCTCCTTGTAAATTGTTGTTGTTTTTTTTTAGATTCTATATTATTAGATCTTCAGTAATTCTGAAAGAATTCACCAAAGGGTGGAAAGAATATTTTTGTTAACTGTTTGATTAAGTAGGTGGTTTGATTTTTAACCACCATAATCAAGGAGCTAGGGTCTCTCAGATCCAAAAGGATCATTTTAAGGCTGAAGATAAACTGACTTAACAGCTTTTCTAATTCATATTTTTTATGAACAATAAAATATCTAAAAATGTTCTTTCTATTCGAAAGAAAGCCAAGGTGGTAACTGTCATCTATCGAGTAATTTAATAAAAAGATGGGAAACAGAGACATATGGTTATGATTGAAATTAAGATAGAACCTTGATCTTTGTTGTTGAGTTGTCGTAATCTCATGCTCTTTTTAAGTGAAGGCTCACTTTTCCTCCAGTTAGAATGGAGTTTTTGTTGTAGAGCCCATCTTTGTGGTCAACAGGTATCTGAGGTTAATAAATGTAGAGGCTATATTTTATGATGCCAAACCACAACGACATACCATAGAAAATGATAACTTTTTTTTTTGACAAAACCTCTTATAGTAAGAATAAATCATAGAGAAACACAGATGGCTGATGGTAAAATGTGTAGTTTTACACAC